CACCTCCTTTGGCTGTCCGGTTGACTAGAGGGTGTGCCCTTCACAGGCTTGCAGGTCATGGGCTGGGGTGGTTGGTACATGGTGTGTTTGGTGGAGGCATGAACCTGCTGGATCTTGTATGTGGAGGACTGCATGGCGTAATGCATGTTAGGACCGTGAGTCTTTACCGTATACGTTGATGAGGATGAGCTGACATGTCTCTCTGGGTAGGAGCCTGTGGAGCCATAGTAGGTTGAAAGAGGCTGGTTTTGGTGAGATGTGGATGGAGCCATCTGCTGAGGGAAATAGGAGGATTGTAATGTGCTAACTGGAGCGGAAACTGACCGATTGTACGGCTGAGGAGGCCCACGTGTGGGCTGCTTGAGGCTGGCCGAACTGTTTGAGTATGTGATGGGTTGGTGGGTGGGTGATTGGTTGGCATGGTTGGAAGAAGCTGACCCAGGCTGTGAAGAGTGCCCCTCGCTTTCGAAAGAGAGAGGGGACGATGACCTGGACATCCAGTCCTCCCCGATGAGCTGGCGCTGATACTGATCAATGATGCGCTGCCGCCGCAGTTTTTCACTGTAGCGATAAAAGTCTGAAATTTCATAAGGTTTTGAGATCTCTGTGTGAGGCTGAAGACGGGTCACAGTCACTAGGGTACTTGTGGCATGGCCAGCGGGGCCTCGCGGAGAGGATGGACCTGAAGAGGCAGGTGATCCTCCGTGATGTGCACCTTGCTGAGAATACTGAAGGGCAGGCGATGAAGATGGAGGGGTCTCAATTCGTTGGATGGGGATGGTGCGAGCAGTGCCCGAGTAGTAGCCCGTAGGCGAGTGATGGGAGTGAGTAGGCGATGTCACTCCCTGCTGGAAATGATAAGAATGCTGCTGATGTGGAATTCCTTGCTGTCTCTCAAAAAATGAGGGAGGTAACGGTCTTTGCTGCTGGTAATGTGGAGGAAGGGTGTGATGAGAACGTAAAGGAGATATACACCTCTCTGTCCGATGAAACACGGGTTGTGAAGCGGTGTGGTGGCCGATGACTTGACTGTACTCCGGGTGTCCTTTCGGATGGACATGTGTTGTGTCAACATCCTGGTATGGCTGATGGCCTGCAGATTCATACAAACGAGGACTGTAACAGTGTTCGGATGTAAGGGCTGGTGCACCTACAACTCCTTGTTTCAGTCTCTCATGGTCAGAGCTCTGATGCAATGAAGAAGTACCCATTCCATCACTCCAGACTGTTTTAGCAGACGATGGTGGAGGCATTGACTGTCCTCTCTCGTGGTGAACTGGCACTTCAACTATAACCCCTGCATGACTTCCCATATCTCGGTATCGAACTCTACCCCCAAATTCTCTCCTGCTCATCTCTGAATCCCCTCCATCTCTGCCCTGTCGTGGCTTGTACCTCACAGGTGAAACATCTCTGTAAATCTCTTGCCTGTAATCCCGTCGCTTTCTATCCAAACTGCCATAATGAAGATTCGATGAACTTGAACCTGGAGCTTTACGTTGAAAAGGTTCATCTGCAGCTCCACGCCTGAAGGGCCCGAAATGTGAGCCACTCTCATACGAGCCCTGGCAGACAACACCCGGCTCAGAGGTTGCTGGCGATCGTAGATGATCATTGCTTTCATAATGTGATGTCCGCTGTGAATTCACGTTATACATATTATTGGCGGAGCTGAACCCACTGTCGTGACTGCCATCCAGTCGCAAGTTTGTTGACAGTGGAGCAGTGTTTGTGTTTTCACTGCTTGTGTCCACGTCACCACCATTGTGAGAGGAAGGGCACACTGTTGTTCTGTAACTTCCTCGCCCGACACCTCCGTTGGGAGCAAACCCACCAGACAGCTGTGGACTAGACAGGTAAAAATGGTGTTAACATTTTAGAGGACAGGTACAAATTAAAAAAACATGATCAATACAAGTACACCATTGTTAACGGAACAAATGTCATATAGTGAGTTTTATCTTAAAATGTAATGGGAGGAGGGGCAAAACAAAAATGTACATTTTTTTAATAGAAGAAATAATACATTATGATGGATCTATTTCAAATAATGAGTGTTTTAATATTTGACAGTTTAGTACACACTGACTAAACATGATAATACAAATACACCAATTTTTTTTAATGTCACAAACATTTTATGTGGACTAAAATTCATCATAATCATCATCATGTGCCACGCTGACAAGCAAGGGCTGTCTCAGTCCACTATCATCTCCCACTATCATCTCCCACTATCATCAAAATCAGACAAGTTCAGGTTCTTGTCCCAGTCACTCCATGTGGTCGAGCCATCCACAGATTTATGCTCCTCTGTCTTCCCCTTGCTATTTTCCCATTAAGTCTGCCAGGTGTCAATGACTTTTCAAGTTCATTGCTCCTCACAATCAGTCTTCTCTCATTGTTACAAATGCTGTTTCCATCGACGATGAACTGCATTTTAGTGTTTGACTGTTTATGTTGGCAAGACTGCTGTCTGCGCATGGATGCTGCTGGATTTGCTAAGACTGCGGTCTGTGTCAATTTTATTTTTACACGGAGCAGTGATGGACATTGTGTGTGGTTCTCCCTGGCACAAGAACAGTGACGGAAATTCTGTGTGGTTCTCATTGGCACAGGAACAGTGACGGAAATTCTGTGTGGTTCTCGTTGGCACAGGAACAGTGATGGAAATTCTGTGTGGTTCTCATTGGCACAGGAACAGTGACGGCCATTGTGTGTGGTTCTCGTTGGCACAGAAACAGTGATGGACATTGTGTGTGGTTCTCGTTGGCACAGGAACAATGATGGACATTCTGTGTGGTTCTCGTTGGCACAGGAACAGTGATGGACATTCTGTGTGGTTCTCATTGGCACAGGAACAGTGATGGACATTCTGTGTGGTTCTGGTTGGCACAGGAACAGTGATAGACATTCTGTGTGGTTCTCGTTGGCACAGGAACAGTGATGGACATTGTGTGTGGTTCTCATTGGCACAGGAACAGTGATGGACATTGTGTGTGGTTCTCGTTGGCACAGGAACAATGATGGACATTCTGTGTGGTTCTCGTTGGTTACTGTGATGGACATTCTGTGTGGTTCTCGTTGGCACAGGAACAGTGATGGACATTCTGTGTGGTTCTCATTGGCACAGGAACAGTGATGGACATTCTGTGTGGTTCTCGTTGGCACAGGAACAGTGATGGACATTCTGTGTGGTTCTCGTTGGCACAGGAACAGTGATGGACATCGTGTGTGGTTCCCGTTGGTACAGGAACAGTGATGGACATTGTGTGTGGTTCTCGTTGGCACAGGAACAGTGATGGACATTGTGTGTGGTTCTCGTTGGCACAGGAACAATGATGGACATTCTGTGTGGTTCTCGTTGGTTACTGTGATGGACATTCTGTGTGGTTCTTGTTGGTTACAGTGATGGACATTCTGTGTGGTTCTCGTTGGCACAGGAACAGTGATGGACATTCTGTGTGGTTCTGGTTGGTTACTGTGATGGACATTCTGTGTGGTTCTGGTTGGTTACTGTGATGGACATTCTGCGTGGTTCTCGTTGGTTACTGTGATGGACATTCTGTGTGGTTCTCGTTGGCACAGGAACAGTGATGGACATTCTGTGTGGTTCTCGTTGGCACAGGAACAGTGATGGACATTCTGTGTGGTTCTGGTTGGTTACTGTGATGGACATTCTGCGTGGTTCTCGTCGGTTACTGTGATGGACATTCTGTGTGGTTCTTTCTCATTGGCACAGGAACAAACTTCAATGGGGGTGACCTGTCTATGATGAAGTTGAAACTGTGATTACCTGATTAGCTTCACTCACTGTCTCTCAAATGTTCCAATTTTTCCTCATGAGGTGGCCTGAACATGACAACCACCTCTTCTTCATGATGTAATATTTTGTCTATACAGTCCTGTTTTTACTTTCACACACATCCACATGGTGGGATAATGTGTACAGTAGGAGCTAACCTGTTGTGGTTATAGTACAATATCTCTCCTCTCCTATCTCTCTCTCTCCCTCTCACACACACAATCACACATTCACTTGGTAGGACTGTGTGCACTGCAAGCTAAACTGCTGTGGCTACAGTACAGTCTCTCTCCTCTCTCTCTTTTTTCTATGTCCCACACAATCACACATTCACTTGGTGGGACTGTGTACACTGCAAGCTAAACTGCTGTGGCTACAGTACAGTCTCTCTCCTCTCTCTCTTTTTTCTATGTCCCACACAATCACACATTCACTTGGTGGGACTGTGTGCACTGCAAGCTAAACTGCTGTGGCTACAGTACAGTCTCTCTCCTCTCTCTCTTTTTTCTATGTCCCACACAATCACACATTCACTTGGTGGGACTGTGTGCACTGCAAGCTAAACTGCTGTGGCTACAGTACAGTCTCTCTCCTCTCTCTCTTTTTTCTATGTCCCACACAATCACACATTCACTTGGTGGGACTGTGTGCACTGCAAGCTAAACTGCTGTGGCTACAGTAGTCTCTCTACTCTCTCCCATATTCACTTGGTGGAACAATGTGTACAATGGAAGCTAAGCTGGTGTGGCTACAGTACAATCTCTTTCCTCTCTCTCTTTTTTCTCTCTGTCACACACAATCACACATTCACTTGTTGGGACAATGTGCACAATGGAAGCTAACCTGGTCCGGCTACAAAACAATCTCTCTCTCTCTCTCTCTCTCTCTCTCACACACACACACACACACAATCATTTGGTGGGACAATGCACTGCAAGCTAACCTGGTGTGGCTAAAGTGCAATGTCTCTCTCATGCACACACACACACACACTCTCTCTCTCTCTCTCACTCTCTCTCTCTCTCTCTCTTGCTCTCACGCACACACAATCATTTGGTGAGACAATATCTACACTGAAAGCTCACCTGGTGTGGCTAAAGTGCAATGTCTCTCTCATGCACACACACACACACTCTCTCTCTCTCTCTCTCTCTCTCTCTCACTTGGTGAGACAATATCTAGACTGAAAGCTCACCTGCTGTGGCTAGGGCTAAGAGCTGCTCTATGATTATGACTATCACCAGATCCATCAGTAGAGCCATCATCAGGTGTCTGCAAGTATCAAAAAGATGAAGAAATAAAAGCATCAGTAGAAAAATAAACATAACCAACAAGGAAATCAAACACACTAAGCTAATAGCATAATATGCTAGGCAATACACTACAGATTCATTAGTTAGTTGCGTATTTTTCACAAGATGTTGCAGAACCAGCCCCAGCATTTTTTGGCTGTTGTGGTTTTTCTAGGCAAGTTAACATCCAGTAGTTTGCCGCTGCTTTCTGGAGGGCAGGCTTCTCGATACCACTGTCGAATCCAACGCAAGGCGCAGCTAGGATCGAACCTGGCACCCTGGCATTATGATGCACGTTCGCAATGCCCAAGCCACAGACACTGACACAGGTTCAATAGCCCCTCAATAATCAGATACTTGTTTTCTTATGTGGTTTCTGGGCTCCACTGGGAGACGAGGCAGGGGGATAGGCTCACTGACCCCTAACAAGCATGACACAATAAGGTGAGAAATTAGGAATTTGCTGAAATATGCTGTTTTTGGGCCAAAAGGTACAAATATCCCAGACAAGCTGTAAACCACAACATAAAGTGGCAATCAAATTTTTAAGGGTGAACATAGAAGAAGAAGAAGAAGTAGAAGAAGAAGAAGAGGAGGGTGAGGAGGAGGAGAAAGAAGAAGAAGAAGAAGAAGAAGAAGAAGAAGAAGAAGAAGAAGAAGAAGAAGAAGAAGAAGAAGAAGAAGAAGAAGAAGAAGAAGAAGAAGAAGAAGAAGAAGAAGAAGAAGAAGAAGAAGAAGAAGAAGAAAGAGAGAAAGAAAGAAAGAAAGAAAGAAAGAAAGAAAGAAAGAAAGAAAGAAAGAAAGAAAGAAAGAAAGAAAGAAAGAAAGAAAGAAAGAAAGAAAGAAAGAAAGAAAGAAAGAAAGAAAGAAAGACTTTACTATCTCAAGCAGCTGTCGCTGTAGTCTACTAAATCTCCAGGTCTGAGGATATGGAAGTGAATCAGGAACAATCAGCATATCACAGAAAACATGTATATATGCAGCAGAGAGATGGTTTTCTAGAAGAAAGATGAGAATGTCATGGTTTGCAAGATGAGTATTGGAACATGACAATTGTGTAGAAGCATGAGGCTCTTTAGAGTAATAACCAGAATAGGATCACAGCCCGTCAATTATCATCATCATATGCTCTGGCAACTGGCATGGGTGATCATGCCTCTCCCTAACCTGCCATCTCCAACAGCATTTGCCAGTTCATGTGCTGACACCTCTTCACACCACAACAAAAGGCGTCAAGAATCTTTTCATTTTGTCTTGCTCTATCTTTCTTTCCATAAATCTTTCCAGTGGTCACAGCATGTTTTTGTTTCCTTTTATCATAAAATATGCACACACACACACAAATTATGACTGTTTCTGTCTAAAATTTGTGATAAGCTGTCTTCAGGCCCTTGCCTCTTTCACAAATTCTGTCAAAAGACTACCCAGTGAAGAAGTTCTTCAAGGTTGGTTGGTCACTTAAGACACGGTCCTGTCCTGTGACCTCAGTAGCCCTAACTGAAAGGAGTCACTTAAGACAGTGGCCTTTATGAGCCACAGTGTGGCAATGTGGCTTCTTTCAGCTCAGAAGAGGGAGAAACCAGTGAGATAAGGGCTGGCACAGAATACTAATTTTAAATAAGATACATATTCATGGCTGCACAAAGGCAAATGAAGACATTTGACAACCCTTTTGTGTGTATTTGCTCATTTTTGACAAATGTAATTTACTGAGTAATATGCCATTAAAACAAAACTGCTTACCTGATTATTTCCTTTAACTGTCTGACGGTCTGAAATATGAAAGAAAAAAGGGATAGAATGAACATGGTGACATAAAACTTTTTACTTTTCAGTTCACTCTAGCTTACAAACAGCCTGTTCTTTAACCACCTGTCATAGTGATGCTAGATTCCAAATCTACTGCTCTTGTACACATGTAATATCTAGTGAGCAAATGGTACAGTCAAGAATTCATCCTCTTGTTAGTGTTATCATGAGCTGACATTCTTGATGGTGAATTTTGCACACTGACGTTATTGTCCACCACACTATGGTGTCTACTGACAGTGGCCAACTGTCTTAAGATGCAAACTAACACTATTCTTGTCCACATATTGTAACATCCGATGAGGAGAAGGAGGAGTCTGATAAGGAGCTTACATCATCAATGGTGGTAGCTTCAACTGCTTTTCTTTTCCACTTATGACATCTACTTAAAAAAAACAGACAATATTGCAGTCTACAACTATTCTTGAGAAGGAGCAATTTTAGCTATATTTTCAAAGTCAGATGTAACATGCTGCTGTTTTTAGTAACACATTTAAGTATGTGTTTACTGATGGTGTGATTGAGTTAAAGTTATGTATGTGTTTACTGATGGTGTGATTGAGTTAAAGTTATGTATGTGTTTACTGATGGTGTGATTGAGTTAAAGTTATGTATGTGTTTACTGATGGTGTGATTGAGTTAAAGTTATGTATGTGTTTACTGATGGTGTGATTGAGTTAAAGTTATGTATGTGTTTACTGATGGTGTGATTGAGTTAAAGTTATGTATGTGTTTACTGATGGTGTGATTGAGTTAAAGTTATGTATTATGTACTGATGGTGTGATTGAGTTAAAGTTATGTATTATGTACTGATGGTGTGATTGAGTTAAAGTTATGTATTATGTACTTGATGATGTGAATGAGTTAAAGTTATGTATTATATACTGATGGTGTGATTGAGTTAAAGTTATGTATTATGTACTGATGGTGTGATTGAGTTAAAGTTATGTATGTGTTTACAGATGGTGTGATTGAGTTAAAGTTATGTATCTGTTTACTGATGGTGTAATTGAGTCAAAGTTATGTATGTGTTTACAGATGGTGTGATTGAGTTAAAGTTATGTATGTGTTTACAGATGGTGTGATTGAGTTAAAGTTATGTATCTGTTTACTGATGGTGTAATTGAGTTAAAGTTATGTATGTGTTTACTGATGGTGTAATTGAGTTGAAGTTATGTATGTGTTTACTGATGGTGTAATTGAGTTAAATTCAGTTATTAATTCTTCACCTTTTGTCAAAGAGTTATTTAACTTTGTTAGGTCTCCATTTTCTTCTCGAATTCTACCTCAGATGTCAATTCCTGGCCTCAGATATTAGCATTTCTGTTTTCACCCATGGTATCAATCATTATATGATTGTGTAGATAACAATATATTAGGCAGATCCTGAGAAGAAGTGGACAAAGAATCACCAAACAGGCAATGGATTGGGAAACAACTGGACTGAAGAAACGAGAACATACAACAGGTGAACCTTGATGAGGGAGGCCAAAGGTGCTGGACTGGATTCCATTCATAATACTGAAAGGATTACACAGGACGGAACAGGGCTGGAGAATAAACTGTGAGTTCTATAAACAATTTATAAATGCCAGAACAGGATGATGATAACGATGACGACTGCTCTCTTCAGATTTTAAGAACTCATCTAATGTGAGCTCCCATCCTATCTGCACCAACTTGCAATAGAATTGGTGATTAGCCGCTCACCATGAGACTAATCATCATCAAGTAGCTTGCTGACTAGTGTTGGCGATCACGCCTCTCATTAACCTGCAGTCTTCAACCTCTCCACAATCTGCAGTCTGTAACAGCATGTATCTGTGTGCTGGCACCCCTCCATGACAAGGGCCGTGCTGGGCTATGGTACAGGGAGGCGGCCCCTTCAGGTGGCACCATAAAGGGGTGACATAAGCAGGGAAATCAAAATTTGATATGAACATTTAAGGGGTCAGCATTTCGAAGGATTGCATCATACTGAGAACATCTACCGCGAGGCTCTGTATGACATGAGAAAAAGCTTTTCTGGTTATTTTCCGCTGTCTCTTTTGTAAACAGATCTTTCAAGTGGTCACAACATGTTCCAGATTCCTATTCTCATAGCATGACCCAAAAAGTGATGAATGTCCTCTTTCTTAGGTTTGTGAAAAGTTTTAATTAGATCTATAATCTATAAGAGAATCTAGTGGCTTTGGGAAAGTTATGCACATACTCATGAAGACCTTAGACATAGTAAAGCAGAGTGCACCTAAAAGTAGAAAGAAGTGAACAAAACAAGAAAGCACCTCTAAATATGATCTACAACAGAATCTTCAAACATGAATCTATCATTCCTGAGCTACACGTGGCAGAGGTTTGCCAGTTTTACTGAAGATGTCAAAACAATCTGCTATTCAAACTGAGACTTTTGACAAAGAAGAAAACCTTGTTAGTAACATCAGTTAAATGATGACTTTTAACCAAGATTTGACAAAGAAGAAAACCTTGTTAGTAACATCAGTTAAATGATGACTTTTAACCAAGATTTGACAAAGAAGAAAACCTTGTTAGGAACATCAGTTAAATGATGACTTTTAACCAAGATTTGACAAAGAAGAAAACCTTGTTAGGAACATCAGTTGAATGAAGATAATCACAAATTAACTCGAACATCAACTTGCAAAATACTCTTGGGAAAGAAAAACAAAGGCTATGTACACATTACATAGACATTATGTTTCTGAGGATTACATAGTTTAGATGATTTTAAATCTGTTTTCTGAGATTCCAGTACTCCAGTGTTGGCAAAAGTTAATTTTGGGTACCTGGGACAAATGTGATTTCCATCAGCTTTATTACTTAAGCACTGGTTTCAACCTGAAAAGTTCATGGGAGTGCGAGGAGTTTTCTTTTCTTTTCTTTTCTTCTTTTTTTTTTTCTTTTACTTGTAATAATCTGTTGCACTATCATTGGTACTTGTAATTATCTGTTGTACTATGATTGGTACTTGTAATTATCTGTTGCACTATCATTTGTACTTGTAATTATCTGTTGTACTATCATTGGTACTTGTAATTATCTGTTGTACTATCATTTGTACTTGTAATTATCTGTTGTACTATCATTGGTACTTGTAATTATCTGTTGTGCTATCATTTGTTCTCATTTAATTTTTTAATAAATTTTTTTTAGTGTCATATAAAACACACCAAGGATGTTATTTTATTGAGGCTTCGATTTAAATAAATGTTTAGGAAGGACAGGAAGGGAGGGTCCTTGTCATATTATCAAGTTCAGACCACTTTAAAAGGTTGAAAACCACTGATTTAAATAAAGCATTCTATATTTTCGTTTTTTTTTTTTTTTTTTGCATTTCATCTCTTCCAGTGGAGCCAACTCCCACACAAGCCAAACTCCTTTCTGGCTTGCTCAACATACACATATAATGGGATGCTGGAATGTGCAGCCAATGTCTTCTGTTATGAAATAGGAGGTCATGAGCCAACCTCACTTAGCAGCCTCATATTAAATATTAAATCCATTGTGTCCTTTGCTGTTAGTTGCCTCACTTCTTCAGGACACCACGAAACCAACACACTTTACTGGTTGCTTGTGGCTTTACTGGGTAATTTTTATATTCAATAATTTGCCACTGCTTTCTGCATGGTACAACACTCATGCCATTACCTAAATCGACGCAAAACATCCTGCCGCAAAATTTGTTTCCTTTAAGGCTTCAAAACATGAATGATTCTGTGGGCACAAATGTAATCACTAGAAGCCTACATAGGAAACTCTCGCTCCACATAAATCAATGCTACACTTGTACAGCATCATTTCCTATTTCCTGCTGTAGTTACTGGTGTCTCTCAAATTTGATCATTATCAAATTTCGACCCAGAGTATCTGTGCTACAGTTCTTTACTGACACACATATGGCTTCTTTATTTTCTGCTGCCTTATAAACTCATGTTTAGCTAGTTCATCCACCCCCTTATATTTTATTACATCTGTGATGATCTGTAACACGTTTTAGACATTTGTGTGCCACACTTTTTCACTTGTTATACATTTTTAAGTGGCAGTGCAGCTGTCACAGAAATTAATTTGAAGCCTGGGTTTACTTGTAATCTAATTCTTGTTAATATTAATCTGCATTTTTAAAAAGACAAAGAAGATGGTGAGAAACTGGGCACATACTGGTTAAAAATAGACAGAGAATCACTAAACAGGCCCTGAAATGGGAAATAAATGGACTAGGGAAATAAGGAAACATTCAAGAGAGAGGCCAAAGGTGCTGGACTAAATCTGATCTTTCATAAAAAAAGACTGCACAGGATAGAAGCCGGCCCTGTGACGTATAAATGGCAGTGGGTGAAGATGATGACGGCCATGAGGAATACTCTTTTGAAATATTCCTTAGTTGTAAATTACTTCTCTTTATGTATTACAGTAGTCACTTTACTGCATACAGTTTGTCTGAACATGTTCCATTCCTGAAACTGTCCTAGCCAGTTGGTTTTTCTAGCCTGTGATAGCAAACATTGTGGTATTTTGTAAACATTGTGGTATTTTGTAAACATTGTGGTATTGTGTAAACATTGTGATATTTGTAAACAGTATTTTGTAAATATTGTGGTATCTAGTAAACATTGTGGTATTTTGTCATTTTGTTAGCTGGACTGCTAATAAGTTTTAAACTATACCCAGGCATCCTGCGTTGTTCCCCCCCCCCCCCATTCCCCCTGGTTAATCATCTTGTTTGCTACATGTAGTATGATAAGTTTAATTGTTCTTCTCCTGCGTTCACCTTTAAAAAGCTGGCTAACACGCATTTTGTGGTTTACAGCTAGGCTTGGATAACTGTGCATTTCAATCCAACACATCTGATTTCAGAAAAACCTTAATTATTGGCCTTTTTTTTTTTTTATAGCATGCTTAAAGTGGCCTGTAACCCACACAGGGGATAGTTTCAGTGATTCC